AGTCTCTAGTAAATTGTTTGTAATTGCAATTGTCCTGGGCATTTGGCTCACCGGCTTAAGTCTTAAATCAAAGTAAGCCGAGGCGAGTTCGCCTAACACACACACACACACAAACACACACACACACACGTACACTGGAATTGCAAATTTGCAAATTTCAAATGTGGTTTTTCTTGTATTCAATTACGTGACTACTGCAGACATGAAATTGCCATGTTTGTGCCATAAACTCGATTTCCATTTCAATTTACTTACTCGTAGATTTTACATTTCATTGCCAGTCAAATAATTCATATAGTTTAGTTGTTATATTTATGGTTGTAGTTGTTGTTGTTGTTGTTGTGCTTGTTGTACCTGCAGCTGTTGCCATCAAATTTGTAGTTTTAATTAAACAAATAAAATGCTCTCAGTGTCTGCTCTGCATTGTGGCTTAAAGCACTCGAAAACAGCGAAAGCACGAACACACACGCACACGCACACACACACACACATATACATGTTAGATGGCATGTGGATTGCATGATAATAGAAATTAAGTATACGACCGCGAGCGCTGTCTGGGCCTCCTTTTGTTGAGACATATCAAATGCATCCCTTTTGCTACTCGCTCATGTTCTATTGTCGTCTACTATGCCACTGGCAGGATAACAATTCCGGATTATCTCCAAGTATGCCCTGCAAATGTTTAGCAAAGAGAGAGAATAGGAGAGACACTCGACACAGTTTTATGGTAAAGAATTTTATTCAAAAAAGTTACTCGGCTTAACTTTATACAAATTATAATTTACAATGTAAAAAAATCAATAATCAAGGTAATATATATATATTTGTAATTAGTGCTGCGCTTAAATTAGACATAATAATTATCATAATACATATTTTCTTTTGTATTTTTAAATTAATAACGTAATAATATCTGCCAGAATTGGGTTGAAAAATGTGAATGAAAATTAGCGTAAAATACTTTCGGTTACAATTTTGTTGCGCCTTCGTGGAGATTCGAGAATGATCGATATTTATCGATTATGAATATTAATAAATGAAGTTTTTCGTTTTTCTCTCTGTTAAATGCTTTACTCTGGCTGCTCAAATTGTTTTTGTGTGAAATTTTTATTTATTTTCTTAAACGTTTATCAAAAAGTTGTTCAAAAGAATCTTTCATTTTGTATAAAAAATCGTTCGTAATAATAAATAATAATATATTTTTGTGGGGCTTTTGCTGTTGCATATTTTTCTTGGCTTAAATTACATTTAGCTTAATTGCGAGACATTTATGTAAATAATTGAGATTTTTCAAATATTTTTTTTTTTTAGGGTTTTCATTTCATAATTTTTTTTATATATTTTTTCTTATTTGTGTTTTGCCTATGTAAATTTAATTTATAATTTTTTTTTTTTAATTATATGCTTGTTTTAGTTTTATGTTGTAAATTTTATTTAGGTGTGTGTGGGACTGTGTATGGATTTAGCTGTGCGTATCTTTTTTTTTTTTAATTATTATATATTTATGTATGTGGAAAAATGTATTTTTTTTTTTTAGTTTTGTATTATTTTTTTTTTTAACACATTCATTACGTTTTGTCTTGTATTTAGCTTAAAGATTTTTGTTTTATTTTTAGTACACACATTCAATGAAGTTTTTGAAAAACCACACTTAAGATTCATATTTTTTGTTTTAAATTATTATTTTATGTTTATGCATTGGGTTTGTTGTGTTTTTTGTTTTTGTTTTGTATTTTGTTGTAGCTCACAATATCTATATTTATTTTTCTTTTTTTTAATGTTGTTGATTTTTGTGTTGCTGTTGTTGTTGCTCTTGTTGTAGCTGCAGTTGTTACAGCCTCACTGGGCATTTGTAGAGTATTTCTATTTCTTGCCATCGCCCTTCTGCACATAGACTATTTCGGCATATTCTGTTGCATTTTTGGCAGCTGCATCTCCGCTTGTTGTTGTTGTCGCAGTATTTGCTGGTGTTGCTGCTGCTGCTGCTGTTGTTGTTGTCACTGCAGCTGTCGTCTTCTCCTGGGCGGGCTTTAGTACAAGTTCAGCATAGACGAGTTGTTTGTCTTGCTGTGGACAGTAAAAAA